TGGTGGCTCCTGTCTCCCGATGGGCTGAGGGTTTAGCCTGAGGGTGGGCATTTAGAAGGTTGGTTTGTGACTTGGCCAAAGAGGTCGGGTCGTCCGAGAGGGTGGGTCTTGTCTAGGCGCATGCGTGGGTTACACGCGCACCCGCTCTCCCGGCGTGAACTGCGGCCTTGTCGTCTGAACTTTGGCAAAACGGAAAGGCACTGTGTTAAACTAGCTATGTTTTCTGCCTGCTTCTGTTCTTCCACTCTTTCTGGTTTGGCAATTACCAATTTTCATCTTACGGCATGATTGTTACGAACAATCATGAGAGGAACAGCGGGCTTAAGTTTAGGTCTCATTTAATAAGCAGGTTGGTAAATACAAGGGGATTGATTTTGACTGAACTCATCCTTTACTAGATATGTCTGCCCTGGTCAAGCTAAATAAATATGATCCTCAGGCTCCTGATCTGTAAATGGGGATATGAGCTCCTGCAAGCTATGTGGGGAAAGTACCTGTTAGCTGCTCAGCACAGTGCTTAACACGCATTGGATGCAAGATAAATTTTTTTTAAAGTTTAAATCGTGCCCCCTACCCTGGATTGAGTCTGAATGATGGCGGGCAGTTTATAATTTATCCTTAGCTTTTATCCCTGACAAAAGGAGGTGAATGGCCTAGTAGGGATACGGACAAAATGCCCATGCTAGATCTGGCTTTACCACTTAACTACCGTCTGGGCATTGAGAATGAAATGAATCTTTAGGTTACACATAATCTAAAGTATTAAATTTCCCACCTCCTGCTTTAAGGATGGAGAGGAATCACTGGGATGTATGTTAGTATATCTCAAAGAACTCAAATATGTCAAAGAAGTAAATCAAGGACCTAGCTTTAACCAACAAGAAGCTTACATGTAATTATCCAAGCATAAACTGCCCCTAACCACCCAGGATAGGCCCTAGGTAACTTCTGTGACATCAGTTGTCTTCCTGTGATGCTGGTCAGGTTCAGTACTGCCTCCCATGCTCACCTCCCTTAATGTCTCTGGTTAGATTTCTTTATCTTCGTTTCTTTCCCTTCCTCCCTTCCTTTCTCCCTACCTTCCATCCCTGCTTCCATCCATAGCAAGAGATCCTCATCTATGAAGCACCTATTTAGTTATGTTTAAGGCAGTGTGCCTTATTCTAGTTTGAATAATTCATCAATGCTGTCTTCAACTCCTTCATAATCTAGAGGAGAAGATCTAGATATGGATAACTGGAAGTCAGTCCTCCCTTATCAGTGTCTTGAAGGAATTAGTGACTTGAGAAAATGAGAGAAGAAACAGTTGAGGGTCAACCCAGCAAAATTCCCCACTACGTTTCTCAGTGTGATTGATGACGTGCTCCCAGAATTTGATTGTATATAAGAAATTAAGTCAGGCCAGTAGAGAGAGCTATGTCTTTGTGGTTGTGTCACTGATCATAGTTATTCTGTCCTCCATGAGGCTGGTCCTTTCCTCTTTGAAACCCCTGCCCTAAAATCAACAGCATGTATTTCCCACCAGTTTTTACATAGATTGGTTACCTAGACCCTGAATCCTGCCATCACCAACCCTTCCATCATCACCCCACTCTCATCTCGAAGTGTCTTCAAGCTTTCTCTTTATGAAGGTGTCTTTTTCTCTCTACTTTCTAATTTTTTGAACCTTCTGCATTTTTAAGCAAAACGGACCTTCCCTTGTCCTTGCTAGTCAGGAAGTTGTATAGTGGTGAGGACTCAGACCATTCCTGGGTATGTAGCACATCTTGTAATGATCCTAATGATCTCTGAATATGGAGATTTCTCTTTGAGTCCCCTGAAGTGATACAATCCAAAAGGTATCATTTATCTCCATCAACAAGGCTCACTGAGCTCCAATATTCCGTGAGCTCAAGAGCTGGCAAAGGGCTGCTGGGCCCAGCCCCACTGTCCCTGGGTTTTTTTTTCCTGAGCTATTTGTTCCAAGTTCCATTCTGCTACCTAGGCTGTAAATTCCACACATGCTCAGCTCAAAGGAATGCAGCTCATGCTGGCCAAAGAGTTTGCCAGGAAACGGGGAGCAGCTTTTCATTTGTGGCTTCCTCTCCCACTGCTGTGAGGCAGACTGCTACTGCCTGAGCTGCTGTTCCACCAACCTTTTCCGATCGCAGAGCAAAACTACTTTCAAGTTGCTTCTGAGGAGCCTCCACTGACTGTAGGCAGCCTGGTTCCTGACCCCAGAGGTCCAGAGAGCTTTTGTTTGGTATGGTATTTGGTCCCTTCTTGGTATTTCCATGATTTGTTTGTTATTTAACTCCTTCATTTATGTAAAACATTTATTGGATGAGCCCTTAGTGTATACCAGGCCCTATGATAAGACTTAAGGATAAGCAAGTCAAATGTGGATCGTCCCCTCAAAGAGCTTGCTGTCCAAACCAGACACAAAGGGCACATATGCAATGATAGCACAGAAAGTCCTCAAAGGTAGGAATGTTTTGCACATATAGCCTGTGTCACAAGGTTGTGTGTAGAAGGTGAAAAATCCCCAGTTTTCCACATTAATGGGAATGCACGAACCATAGACTATCTAAAAATCTTTCTTCAAATTGTTCCTTGTTGGCTTTAGAACACATATTCTGTCATGTATAACAAAGAATTTGACTTTCTTCTTCCACCTCAAGTTCCTCCTTAGCTCATCCCTGACAGTAGGGCCCCAGTTGGAGGATGAATGGATAGCAAAGGCCTCAGACACCACTGGCTAACCAGGAAAGACTCCAGAAAGAGCAAAAGGGCTGCCATGCATGACTCTCCATATAGACACACACACATACACCTACCACCAAGGCTTCCAGAAAGGGAGTTGGACTCGTTTGGACTCGTAATCCACCCTAATGGATTTGGTCTGCTGTTTGTTGAACCACATGACAAGTTGCTGCTATTTGACAATTTTTGACCTATCAAAACAGCAAGGTCATTTGATTCAACGTAATGTATCTGAGAATAAACAAAAAAAATTCTGTAAATGAAGGAAGAGCTTAGAATAACCAACCTACCCATCAAGGTGACCTCCCTGATGGAATCTCAGGTGGCAGGGCTGGAAAGTGATGACAACTGAATGATGAACAACCTAATCAATTGTATAGAGAATGCAGAAAACAAGGATGAGGGGTGAGGCTAGAGAATAGGAAGAGGAAGGAGAAAGAAGCAGGGTAACACCAAGAGGCCAGAAGTTGGCACTTTTACCCACTGTCCTGGAAAGTGCAACATGAAATCAAAGCTCCCGGAGATGTGCCCTGCTGTGAAGCAGGGAAAACTCACTAAGCCCCACCCAGACTTGGCTGAAATCTACTTCCCTTAACTCTTGGGATAAACTCACCAACCAGCCCGCTGATGACTGATCTGGCTTCATGGGATTGCTGATAATGAGGAAAGGGAGCCCCAGTTGAGGGAGGAGCATTCTAGTCACTGAAGGACTAAGCCCAAACTGTTGATCAATACGTGAGTATCTGGTTATATACTTCAGCCTCCTGTGGGTTGGGTTGCTCCAGGCAGATGAACCTCAAAACCCTGACTTGGCTGTGACATAAGTTCAGCTCTGTGGTAAATTCATCAAGGTAAAACTACCCTGGGTGGCCTCTGTGGAAGCCAGGTCAGTCAGATGACTGGCACAAAGCAAAGCCTTCTGGCTCAATCATTTTGATCACAGAGTTCAAGGGGTATAATTACACTGGCAAGGCACGATTATCTTGTTCCTGACCATAACTCCATTCCTAAACCTACATCATGACCCAGCAAGTAGATGTGAAATGGTCTGGCATTTTCCGCTTCTGACTCAGAGCCACCCCAAACCTGGTTACCAGGTCAATAGGTCAATGTTATTACAAACCTAGTGGGGCCAAAAAAGCAGGGAAATGGCGAAGGTGTAGGGAGCACAGAGCAATTTTCCTCACGCCCAAAGACAAGTTCTTTACTTTCCATTGGGCATCCTGCTCTTTACTTCATGGTCCAGGGCATGCCTTCTGGAGTCAGACCTAGGTTCAAATCACAGCTCTGCCTTTTCCTAGCAAGTCACATAACTTCTTTGCACCTGAGGGTTTTTTCATCTATAAAGTGGAGATGATAAATACACTCTCTTAAGGCTGTGAGGACTAAGTGAAGGGTGAACTGAAGACTGCTCAGCTCAGTGTCAATTAATGTTGGGCATTATGATTACTAATAGTATTAATGTTATTGCTAAGGCATATATATCATGAATTAGAGTTATATGAAGGGTTTTGGTAACTGTTCCTTTTATCTGCCCTTTCTGACCGACTGCTCATTCATTATTGGCTTCAGTGCCTGCCAAGTGAGTGCCTGCCTCAGAGCAGATAATCATTAAATATTTGTTGACAAAAAAATTAAAGTTTCATCCTTTTGTTACATGTTTGCAGTTACTAAATATGAAATTGCTTGGTATTTTAGTATCTTCTCTCAAATCTCCCTGTTATATAGCTTTTGCGCATGCTAAGCCATCCCCCACCTCAAAATGGCTAGATCAAAATAGCCACTGAAAGCACCCCAACTGCCTAGTGACCCTGTAGTGGCCCCTGAGTACTTCATTGATGCCAGCTATCCCACTCAGTCATTTGAGCTGGGGAAACACTCCCTCTCAGCCCAAACAGAACTGGATTTACTGATCTACTCCCCAGTCTGGGGTGGGATGTGGGGGTGGTTCGAGGGAGGAGCAGGGG